TCCCGAGCACCACTCAGTCTACGCATGATTATTGAGCCTAAGACTTTAGATACCACTATATTAGTCAAGCTAATCCCTCTGTGATTATCACAGGCGGACTTGTCTGCCTTCTTGTATATGGGGATAATCAGTGACTTACACCAACCCGATGGGCCTTCTTCCGATTCCCAGACGCTGCCTAGTACCTCAGTTAATGCAGACAGTAAGCTGTCTCCACCGTACTTAAATACCTCTGGAGTCATTCCATCAGGCCCCGCTGCTTTGCCTAGTTTCAGATTGGTGACAGCTTTAGTAACCTCAGTTAGTGACGGAGGACCTGTGTTTATATCCCATTCAGGGAGGTGTTGGATGCTTGGAAGGTTGAGCGTGGCTGTGGACAAATTAAACTGCTCCTCATAATGCTCTTTCCAACGATCCAGTCGTCTATCCTGGGAGCTAATTATAGTGCCATTTTTTTCCGAGATTGTCTCACTGATGATCTGTCTTCTCCCACCCGTTTCCCTGATGAGTCCAAAGAGTTGCCTGGTGTTGCCTATCCTCGAAGCTTTCTCCATCTTTTGGCTTTTGTTGTCCACCACTGTTCACGGTCCTTGCGGAGACTTTTCGTAAGTTTCCTTTTGTGCAGCTTTCGCTCCTCATTGAATTCGGAGCTCGCCGGAATAAGTTTTCTAGCATCTATCAGTTCGGATGAGGCGGTGGAGATCCAGTGGTTTTTACTCACCTTTGAATTTACCTTATTCACAGCTTTTACAGCTGTATCTATGGCTGCCTGGATATTTTTCCAAGCTTCTTCAGGGTGAGCACAGCTGTCGAACACAGATATGTGTTTAGCTAGTTCTTCCTCAAATACGGATTTAGTTTCCTAATCGAGCTGGGGACGTGATGGTTTTACCGCCAGCTGTTTCCTACGTCCGTACAGTCGTAAGCACACACGAGGGCGTCCAGTGCGTGATCGGTATCTACACACGTGTTCCAGAAGGAGCGACAATCTCCTACCGACCCACGCCAACGATAGCTTATTGCTATGTGGTTTATTTGTGTCCAGCGTTGATTTGATGATGGGGGTCGCCAGGTTAAACAGTGTCTCTCCTTGTGTTTAAAGTTAGTGCTTACGAGAAACAAATGATTATCAGAGCAGAACTGTAGGAGACGGTCACCGTTGTCGGTTTGCTGGCACGGGACTCCATAGGTGCCACCGACATCCTTCTCAGATTGACACAATTTCCCTACTTGAGCATTAAAGTCACCAGCTAGAACGACTATGTCTGAGCGTTTAGCCTTTCTCACCAAACTAGACAGCTTTTGGTAGAACTCATCCTTCGTTTCATCTGAACTGCAGTCAGTGGGGGCGTAGGCGGAGATTACGAAAAGGCATCGGCGAGTAGTGCAGTCCTTCCTCATTCTTACTGACCCGTTCAGGCGAACAGCACACATTCGGCTATCTACCGGGATCCAGTCAAGCAATGTCTTTTCTGCCCTAGTACTCAAAGCTATCCCTACGCCAGCTAATCCTCGTGAACTAGCTGTGGCATCTCCTGACACCCTCAAGGTGAATTTTGCAGATTCAACCTGTTGGCCAGGTGGGGTTAGGTGAATAACCACACTTGGGTCTTGTATGCGTGTTTCTGAAACACAGCATACATCAATGGCTCGTGATGCCAGGGTCTTGGCTAGTGATGCTTGTTGTCCTATTTGGCAAAGTGTCCTAACATTAAGGGCTCCTATATGAAATTGGTGGCGCTGCTTTAAGAGACTGTCGGTGGTGGTCTTTTGGCTTCCATAGTTTTTAGTGGACGCAGAGTGGAGAGCTATCAAGTCGAGGAGTTGCATCAGTGGAAGGAAGGCAAGATGATAGAGATGAAGACGAAGACAAAGATGAGTGAGTAATAGAGAGGTTTCGCGTGCGTTTCGGATTGTGAGGGCGATTGTTACTTCCCGGCTGCCCACACCGTGGAAGTTGGTTGCGTGACCGCAGAGCCCAGGGGACAACTGCTTGAGGCCGGTCACACGCGGCCTGTTTTTGTTCGTTCTTTTTTGTTTGGATCTTTTGTTTGAATCGAAGAGAGATTTCTACAAAGAGTAGAGATCGTTTTGGGCTCTTCTGTTACAAACATGTACTGTGAATGTCATCCCAGTAGCTTCCATGCCAATCGCTTTTCTCCGTTGTTCGAAACGGGTGGAAAACCGAAGGGGTGTAAGAGAGATAGTTCTCTTCCACTGTTGTATCACGACCACCTGAATGTGGCCCAAAAGGTCTTACGACTCATTTAAACATATGCGGTTTCTTAAATCATTTCTCAGACTAATCACAGATTGAATAAATACCATAGACGCTAAAGAGTTTTTGGAAGCCTGGTATTCAACTGAGTCAGCAACTGACATCGACAAGATTTACCAATCCATAGGGAAGAAATCTCATGCACAAAAAAATTAAACTTCAGTTCAAGGAAACAATCAGCAGGAATACAAATAGACTAGAAGATGTGAAAACACACAAAGGCAACTAATCACGACATTCAAGCTAAACTCGTGGAGGAATTTAAAAGCTCTCTTCAAATTGAAGCATGTTTTGAAGATCTTGTCTAGTAAGACAAGAAAATCTTAGCAGCTAAACCATCCAGCTCAGAGAACACATTTAACACCAAAAGCACCTACTTGGGCAACAAATCTTCTCCAAATTATACCTGTCATATTCTTAAGGCACAAAAAAAATTATTGCGACATTTGGACGATCAACGACCGCCTACACAGTTAAAACCCGATATTGACTTCATGATCTGAAATAATCTGTCGGCCTCTTCACTGTCTACCTTCTTCTATTTAATTCTGAATAAGTTCACTAATCGAAGTATGAGTAATACAACAGATCTTGAAGATACACAAAATCATCGATTTCTTTACTTCTTCTTCCTAACATCCTGCGTTTGGCATGAGCACAACTCAGTTAACTGTTCCATCCACCAGAAGTAATAACTGCCATGAATGAACATGCCTACAACTGGAGCATACAATATTTTCCTAATAGCTTTAAAAACAGTAAAATTGTAAGTTGTCTGAGATGAATAACCATTTGCGTTCCGATTGGAATATAGGACATCTGGTCTCAGGCTTAAAAGTTTCAGCAGCAATGATGTTGTTTTAGTGGGGCGAGATTGCTAGCTACACGCCCAACCTTCCGCTTTGATGGGCTAACTATAGGCTGGGAGACATTTAAGAGTGAGACAACTGGGAGTCGAACACGGAACATTTATAGGGCTGGCGAGTACTGTGCCAGTGCCTCTGAGGTCAAAGGTAATAGAAATTAGCGAATAATAAGTAAACCAGCCATCTACATGATTCATGAGGTCCCATCAGCAACCTTTTCATTAGGGTTGTTGTGACTTTTAAAATAAGTGTGAAGCTCACAGCATTTACGACGACCACATCATCTGCAACACATTCAGAATGGAAATTAATCCATACTAGTTATATATCACTGTCGTAAAATTAGGTAGGATTGAAGTGAAGCAAACTATCCACTCAAATATTTCATCCCAGGCAAACTCCATAAATTTTACCTATAACAGTACTATGCCATCAGTGGAGTTTTAATTGAACCAGCCTTCTCTCCTGAGCGTGAATTCAATCTCTATGAAGTTCGATGTAGACAGAGCTACATCCCATCACCACATGTGTAATAAGATTACAAAGTGAGAGAGTCTGACAGTCCAATAACACAAAGATGACATCAATATAGCCAAGGCATTTACTTACCAACTGAAATAAGCACACGTCTTGTAGTGGAAATCTTCTTCAAATACTTGATTTTCGTCCATTCGGGCAAATTCATCTGCGCCACTTTCATCATTATCACCTGTACGGGTAATCTGTTCATCTTCATTAAGGCAGGATAATCCCGCTGATGCTTCAATAGAGTTCCGTGTATAATTACCATGAGTTTTGATGACTGATTCACTGTAGTAATTATAGCGGGTTGATGTAATCTGTCCACACTTTGCATAATAATTATAATTCTCATGATTGCATACACGTTGATCATTTTTCTGTTCATCACTCACACCTTCATTCAATCGTCTTTTACCACCGACTGACGGCATGGTGAGCATGGTTCTATATGTTACAGGTGAACCGTAGTTGAATGGATGCATTTTCGGAAAGAGCGTATAATTCTTATGTCGCATGAAATTTATACGCTATGAAAGAGATAATAGACGGAAAATACAGAAACAAACAATATACACTTATAGAACATGTATAAAGAAAAAATAAATTTATCGTATTATATAATAACAAGAGTATTGAGTGAGAACAACTGGAATGCAAACATCAAAGTGAACAAATGACTAGATCAATCGTTAGACAGGAAGACAATCCTTTGAAGACACTGAATCATTCTTAACTCCGAGAAATAGTTCAGCGGACTTGAGTACATGACTTTCACTGAAACTGAGCACTTGACACTTATTACACAATAAGTGTGACGGATAGCCTAACACATGTAAAGAATCTCTACCAGATAACCAAGTTCAGTGACACAAGGAGGAAGTCTTGTAAACATTTTGAGTAGCTACCCAAAACTCTTTATCAGTGTCTTGCAGAATGAAACTAATGTACGTGAATTGCACATGCTTCCAGAAGTACCTTAACTCTGCAAATAGAGATAGTCATGGGACTATAACAAATCGAATGTAAGTGTAGAACTTGGGCACTGTGTGGCAGAATGTAATTCCATACATTAGATAAGTTCACTTTCAATATCTCACAGTGATGATGATGCAGTATTAACAACTGGATGACGTTTACAGTAACTTTCCACATCTTCGATATACGCGTTGCATCACTTCTACTGCACGTATGCGGTGTTGAATCAATAAACAAAGATTCAGTGGTTAATCACTCTCCGTCTCTCCCTCGCTCTCTCTCCACATAACTATATCACTTTTTATTACTTTCACACAGTCCCACTCACCCTATTTTGTGATTACATAATAATAATAATAACATGCAAGTGAATGCAATAATTAATCTGCTTGAGTCAACTATTCTACCTCCAACTAAATTTCTATCTTCAGATAGTCTAATTCACATTGATCTAGTGGTTTGACTGACCTATGCAACTGACCTCACAGCTATTACATCTTATTTAGTAAATTATGCTATTTACCTTAATTGCATCTCTTGGGTCCGTAAGCCAACAAAGTTTATCTCTGAGACAGTTGGTTGATTGGGTGGTTTCAATGCAACTCTAATTCCAGCCACATTAAGAATCCTACATAGGACCACTTATAATCCTTCTCTATACGACAGTACTAAAAAAGCTATGATGTTCAGATTATTTTTGTTATTTTCATTATTAATTCAGGCTTTTTAGGATTCTTCATACACTTCGGAATAAATTCAGGTGGGTAGTGTGTTATTCACTAGTAATATTTACTTATATCATGAGCAGACATTTGTTAGAGAACCATTGGGAAACCTACATGGAGTACTGGGCAGCTGTTTCGTCCCTCCTAGTTTGGAACTTTTCACCAGTACGCACCCACCGGGATTCGAACCCAGGACCTTCTGGTTACAAGGCGAGCTAGCTCGTATACCATTAAGCCACTGGGACCTAATCCAATGTCAGCTCATGATGAAATCCTGTAAACAATCAAATCCCTACAACCCAACACTTGAATATCAATGAGATGCTCACTAGCGACTGGCCTTATTCAGGTAGTTAGTTACCTGGGGTTCTAGTGAGAAGTCGTGGCCAGTAGGGGGCTGCAGCGTGTCGGGTGTGAGGACAAATACACGCCGAAGACGTTGGCTTGGATCGCGCTATGTCGTGAATTGTCAGAAGTTAGAATTTGTGGGCTATTGGATTGGTTCTCAGTGGCTTAATGGTATACGAGCCAGCTCGCCTTGTAACCAGAAGTACCTGGGTTCGAATCCCGGTGGGTGCGTACTGGTGAAGAGTCACAAACTAGGACGAAACAGCTGTTCAGTACTCCCAGGTTTTCTAATGGTTCTCTAATTGATGTCAGCTCATGATGAAATCCTGTAACCAATCAACCAAATCTCTACAAACCAATACTTGAATATGTCTTATGCAACGGATATCAGCAGGAAAACTACAATTCACTTGGAATGTTTGTACATTCGCCTGACAAGGCCCAGAAATTCACGTCTTGGATTCCATTGGTAGCCACCGGCAACCAAGCCATCTGACTGCTTGACTGTTAATATTTTAGGTATAATACTGATGGAAATGCAAAGCTTAATTAATCTGAATAGTGTAAATATGAAGAATTTACAATCACCCAGTATGCATGCATTTACACAGTCCACCCAGTTAATGAAAAAACAGTAGTTACAATAACGTTAAATTGGGGACAAGAAAAGTCAAAGGAGCATATATATAAGTGAAGGGGCATCTTAGTCAACAGGGAAATAAGTCCATGAATTATTTATCGTTATAATACATCATACAATAATTGTATTTGAGAATTTATTATACACTTCTCTCTTATATGGACAGAGGAAAAAGAAAGAATAGTAGTCATAATAGTAAATATTTATCCTGTTACACCCTTTCTGGAATGCCTTCAGCCCAGTTACAGTTAAGTTTAAAAAAAGGGGAAACAATTCAATCCGTTTTATTTGTCACACTTAAATGATAATGGTCATTTAATGGCAAATGAAAACCAAGGCATTCAATGTGAGATTCATCGAATCTCTTAGAACATGTAGAAGACAAGGGTAATGAGCACAGTCAACCAAGCAACTAACAAAACAAGAACAACAGAAAGAATCACCAATCACTGTCAATGGAAGAAATTTACAAAAAGTGATCACTTCCTTGACTTATCTGGCCAGGAGGCATCCTTCCATCTACAGATAACAGCACGGATGAGGATATCGAAGCAAGAATCGGAAAGACAAGACAGACCTTCATCACAGTGAAACCAGTTTGGAGATATTCTGCACTCACCATAAAGGACATAATCCGTAATTTCAACACCAATTTTAAGTCAGTCAATTCTTCTATACCGGTAGGAAACTTCAACGGTGCATCACGAACGGCATTCCTAACAGGTTGCAGACTTTTATCAACAGCTGCCTCTTTTGCTAGCTCCATACTGAAGATCACATGACCGATCGGAAAGAATTATCAACAAGAAACGCTGGGAATTAACTTACAAAAACCTACCGCTCAATAAATATGGCTGAAGAAAATGAAGATGGATTGGGCACACACTGAGAAGTCAGTTAAATGACATCACCTGCTAGACCATTCCTAGAGTGCAGGCCGAATGGGAAACAATGAGTTGAGCGTGAGTGCGAGGTGACATAGAGGAGACTGTGTGAAAAAGAAGGTAAGAGGTCATTGGTTATCATGTGGCTAGCTGAGGAGGGCAACGTGAAGATGTGCTGTTGAAGGCCAATGTTCCACTCGGAAACCAAATGAACAATAACAATAATATAATGCATTCAAAAGAAGTCTCCTGGACAACTGAGACCTAACTAAATGATGACGTAAACACCACCACCCTTTACGTATATTCTCAAACCCTCTGTTATCATAATCCTTTAATCCTATCACATTCTCATTAAAATACAGTTTATTTACTTCCTTTACAATTTAGCCCTACTCAATCAGTTCATCTGTTTCTCTTAGTCTTTATCGACTTATTACGCTTAAAAATTACAGCAACAAAGTGATGTTTGAACTGTTGATCGGTGGTCTGTCAGCTGAAAATCAAGTCTTCTATAATGTTTCATTTCCCTGGGTTCTGACTGAGTCACTGCGCTTCAAACTCTGAAGCTTCAATTGAGACGGTGCTGTTTTCATTGGCTGATAGCTTCCCGCTCAACCCTTTCTCTTTTCTGAGCTTAATACATAGAGACAATAAACTAGACAATGTTCAGAGAGTCTATCAGAATCTAATCCGGACAACTTATATGGTAGGCGAACATGGCACTGTTGAAACACCGATGTGCAGGCTGTTAAACTTATAGACTTCAACAGAACATTTTTCGGTAATACTGAGACTTCATGGGTGACAGAAAACGCATAAAGATGGCTACCTCTGTGTCCGAGTAGTGTCCCAATATCTGGATCTCCTAATCATCCATTTGCAGGTTTACACTTTACAAGGAAGAGGTGTCGACAGTTGGGAGTGTACAGACGATATAATCATTTTAGATAAAGATAATGATTACTGTATGGCGCATATTTCAGTGCATAAAACTCAAATTTATTGACTAATCCAAAAATTTTAAAATGTCACGTGCAAGACGTTATTTACTATCTGGTGTTCCACCAAATTATCTAATAGAGCCCTACAGGAGATCAGTCGCGAACCCAAATGGTTCAGTGGGAACGTCTCTAACTGTGGCACAGGGTGATCCAGGTTCAAATCTCAGAAGGGACATGATTGTAGATACTCCTTGCTGACTGGTGAACCCCCAACAAACACGAGACCCAGGTCAGGTAGGTCTTCTTTCCTACCATCTAACCTAGCTTCATAATGTATAAAATTGAGCAATACTTAAACAAATCAATATGCGAGCCTAAGACATAATAAAAGAGAGAAAGATCAGCCGACAAGGCAGAGATATTCCATTATTTAGCAAGTGGCGGTTGGCGGTGGAATCCGAAATGCGTGTTTCAAATGACTCAGAACTCTTCAGAAATATTTCTGCATTCCCAATGGGTGATATTATCATAATCTCAATACTAAGAGACGAAACTCCATCAGGAAGCAAGCATTTCGCATCTACTAAAACCAGGCAACGGAAAATTCACTAAATCACATAGTTTACACCGATGTAATATCCAGTTCTGGTTTGCATGGGTTTCATTGTTTACAGGCGTGATCACAAGCTGACATCAGTCACACAAACATTAGAAAACCTGTAGGGAGTACTGAGACTATGCAATAGTACTCATCCACCAGGATTCGAACCCAGAACCTTCAGGTTACAAGGCAAGCTCGTAGACTATTCAACCACTGGGACTCAATCAGATGACTCTTGAATCCCACTTTCCAGTGCACAATATATATATATATATATATATAGCGCAACCGCCGGCCAATATCACAAGCAAGTA